TACAGCTTCGGGAAGCGACAATTTGAGCGTATTGGTTATCGACATTGTTGATATCTGTGGTAGGCACAAGAGCTGGGAGTTGTTGCCAATCTCTCACCACAACCACTATCAACCGTCTCTTCACAAGATATCAGGCGTCACAGACTTCAAGATTCCAAATATCGAATCCAACACCCACCAGTCTGAAGGGTGTTTTTATAGATTGATATTATCAGCTGGACTTCGGAGCCCGCCGCATCCAGATTCAATAGGTCTCGGCCGCCCATTGGCCTGTTCCCACTTAGATTGATTGGCGATGGAACGTTGCAATCCTGGACAGCAGCACGCGAGTCTTGCTGATTCGTCCAGCCCACGGCTCCGTCGAAGGGATTCCAGTTCTTCACACCTCGAACGTCTGGGCACCCGGAGACTTCCTAACACTACACTATGCGCTCCGCTCTTCTCATATAGTCTCGCCGGAATCGGATCTCCTCACCTTGTCACCGAGGCTGTTGGTGTCCCGGCATTGAATTCTGCTCGAGGTGAACAGCGAAATCGGCCTGGGCAACCGGGATGTCATGATATTGTTTTTTTTTCTTTCGTGCCGTAGCTTCTTTCCGGTATCCGATTATTCTGACGGACGGCGAAGTGGACTCTGAAAAGCTCTCCACAGATCATCTACAGTACGGTTCGAGATTACGGAGGCTGTACGGGTACTGATACTACCATCTTTTCCCTCCACAAACTGTGTCGTTAGCTCTGCTGCAGTGCTTGCAGAGGACGCTTCCGGATCGCTGATCGACACAGACGACGACAGCTCTACACTACGAGATACACTACACTACACTCGTCAGAGTTGGCTATCGTCACCCTCACCCGTGCACATACGTTCTCACCACATCCGGAACTCCGTCTTGGTACCAATTACTGTATGTACACTACACAACTGACTTTGACGGAGACAATCTCACTACTGCGGGGGAGGCACAGCTCTTTCCGCTCCCGAAGGATCGCCACTTTCAATCTCGGGGTTGGTTTTCTCACTGTGTTCGAGGCCATCAGTCTTGGAGACAATGCTCCTCTCTGCTCGACTACCAGGTTCTGGAACTCTTGACGTTCAAACAGCTGCGCCCAACTGCCTCGAGTTTTCACTGCTTCAAGAATCCACACTGATTTGTCTCCATCCCAGTGCTACATGCCCTGATTCAATACACTACAACCGCCCCGTGTTGCAGTTTGTACGGATATGGGTATGAGATGCGGATGCGAGGAGAGTGCCTGGTGCTCAGTGGCAAGATCACGGCATCAGACAGACAGACATACGAACCAGACACCACGAGATCTGACTCGTTGCCTAGACGATTTTGTCTCTCGTTGACCAATGGGCCCTTTCCTTTGGACGTCCCTTTTTGTTCGACATAGGAACAGATTGCACTTCGAGCCGTGATTCAGAAAACTCAAGCGAGCAATACTGGACTGGAATGATGCTTGACATGCTGAGTGAACCTTTTTCCAAAACTCTTCCGTCTCCGTACGCTTTTCTAACACTCGATATTTGCTGATCGTCACTTCACCTCAGGTAGATACATGTAACTGCCGCCCAACAACCCCAATAATGCCTATTGTTTCTCGCGAGATCGGGTCACAAAAAAAAGGAGTCATCTTGGCGTCTTCCATGGTTTGCCAGTTAATAAAAGCCCGAGTTGGCTCAGGTTCTAAAATTCCCAACACACGGGGCTGGGAATCTCGCCCGCTCGCTGTACGTGTAGCCCAGGCTCTGTCTGCCCCGGGTAAGATTTTTCGAACTATCGCCAGGACGATGAAACGCGACTGCACGACTCTTCACGCGGGGACTAGTCGGAGTGACATCGCTCTTCCGTCTATGGCGGTCGATAGGGGAATGGGCGGCACTAGTAGACGATGAAGTTTCGTTCACGCGACATGTGTGTGTGTCAGAGTTGTTGTCGTGTCTATCTGTCTGTTTGCCTGTGTTCCTGTCAAGTCCTCGCCGGTCGTTGGGAAGGAATCCTGGTGATCAATTCTTCGAGCCAGGCTCGCAAGGCTAGCTAACCTGCTGGACACGCTGTCACGGTGTTTCGAACATGAAGTGTGAGGTCCCCGTAAGGTACGGAATAGGGGATGGGATGCCACGAACAACAGTTCACCAGCCATCCGATCGATGATCGCCCGCTGCCGACCGAGGAAATGCTTTGCCGGGTCTCCCTTGGTTTTCCTTGGCTACGTGTCGGCATCGGCAGGAGTGTACAATCCAGCGGAACGCAGCCAGCTGTTCAGGTCCCGAGAGCACGTGTGACAAAAAAGAAGAAACTTCAGACTTGTTGGATTTCGGCGGTATGTCTGTGCCGAGTCCGTACCATCAGTGCCTCCGGCGGCGTTGCATCCGTCCACTTTACATACCTTGCTGCCGGCTGCATTACGAAACTGAACGGCGCAACGGCTCCCGAGCGGGAGGTTGGGTGTCCGTCCGGGACGGAGACTGGACATGTAGGTATGTAGTGTACACAGTAGGTAAAAGGTGCAGTTTGTCACTTGTCCTGCATAAGTTGAATGGGTCGGCGGCACCTGTTAAGCTCGTCGCCGAGTACTACCTCCGAAACAGCGCACATATTTAAGGAAGGACCCTGACAGTAGCAGCTGGTAAGCATCACGATGGAACATGGGGGTTTTCTAATGGTGAGCTCAGGGTCTACGTGCGTTCCGATGGAGACTTTGCTACACCTACTGCGCGTATACATCTGGATACATCGCTAGAAACTGTCCGCTAACATCGTCGATGAGTCGGAAAACCAAAGATTCACCTTCTTGCGAGTCATCGGGCGGTCGACATCTCACAAGTTTGCTGAGCTGAAAATTAAAACAGGTCCTTGAACCTGCGAGTGTCTTGCAGTTCCAGCCCTCGAAAATGGTTCTGGGATGCCCGTTTTGCCGAGCTCCGAGAGTATCATTATATCACTTGTACTGGCGTTATATGTGAGTGGCGAAGTTGTCAGTGGCTTGACCCGTGGTACAATCAAATGCCTATTATACACGTACTTGTCATTTGCTTTTAAATCGCAACAGTTGATCCATGAATCCACGACCAAGTTGTCATTACAAACATTGATGGTTGTAGGAGTAGAGATGATTTTGGCATTTACTATGCTCATATTCACAAAGCTTTCTATAAACAACAACTAGCAGTAGGACCGAGTCAAAACTACAGGATTTAGACCGTAATCGTGCCTTCCCCAGATTGGCGGTCGGAGGGTCGACGTATACAAAGAAGGAGCGATAGAGTGTGGGTAGGAAAGAGCGAGTAATTCAGAACGAAATTTCCCCGAACAGCTGATAATCTGAAGAGACCCGGATTGTGAATACGTTGCGGAAGGAGCGAAGCGGGTTTACTTGTTGCATATTCCCTTCCAGACAGTGAACCTGCTTTGAACATGTCTCTTCCTGGAGGGAGCTGATATTTTCAGGCTTCCAAGTCCCCCTCTTGAGTTTTCTCCTTCCAAAAATAAATCCCACTGCCTCAACCCACCTCTCTCTTTCCCAGTCAGTTTCATTACGTCCTATCAACACCTGCTGCAATCCAACTCCGTTGCCCAGGGGGTGACGAGGGGAAGGAATCATCACTTCCAGAAAGACACATCTCATGTGAAAGCATTGTGGGCATTATGCCACCCTCTCACATGAACTCAACAGAACGATGGGTATCTATCCAATAAAGTAGAGGAACCATTACGCTTTTTTTTGGTGAATGCTATTAGCCTTTTTCTTTGTTTCGTCTCATAGTTCTACCCAGAGGCAGTCGGCTATGACCAGGAAAGAAATTAAATTAAAAATAGAATCAAGAATGGAAAGACGGAAGAAAAAAAGTGCCAAAGAGATGAATGTCATCCCCGGCTGCTCCAGAATCTCAAGATATAATCGGAACGGCAACGGGGCCCACTAGGGCGGTCTTGATGCATGTCTGTCTGTCTGTCGTTAAAACCCTTTTAGAATCTCTGGCTGCGTCTCAAGAAGACCGACATAGGAGCAAGGAGGTTCCCGAGTAGGAAAAGAGAGAGGAAGAGAAGCGAGGAGAGAAGTGAACAAAGAATGAAGATATATCTTTACTATACGCTACAAGCTTCGCTATATTGTCCCTCGTACCTCAAGTGTTATACAAGAAAGACTCAAGCGTTATAAATAACTATAAGAAAAATCTATATTGCTATAGCTGTGTGTCTTCCAGTATATCTCTGCGGTACTGACTTGAGAAGAAAGACCAAGACTGCCCAGGTCCGCCTTCTTATTGTGTGTCACTTCGTAACCTTGCGACTTTATCCCAGCAGCAAAGTCAGGTAGTTGTAATAGGGTAAAAGACCCATTTTCCGATGACAGCTTGTTGCCTCTGCCATAACGTGTAAGCTATTTTCTGCTTAGATTCAAGAGTTACATACCGCGGCTCAATACTCTCTGGTTCCAGATTTTGTTACTGACGCTCGGCCATAAGATCACGGTTGAGACTTGTCGTGAAACGGTCTGTTGACATTGGGTCCGAGGCGATGCAAAACGGAACCATATCACTGTTGTGTTTTTAGAGATCCCAGGGTAGAGTGGTTCACAGTCAGGTATATGCTACAGGCGATGGGCTCGTAAAGAGTGGCGCATGGAATCTTCAAAGGGTATGGAATGGGAAAGAAGTGTTTGTCGACTGCCGTGCTAGATATGTTGCGCTATCAACGCAGTTACGGTGAGCTCACTCTTCATACTTGGGAACACTTGTTACTTCAATCGTTTCGTGTATTATTATTCGCATGATCCTACATACAGTAGGACTTCTTCGTATTCCTTTGTGCCCTTGAAGATAATACACATTACTCACAAGATTGAGACATAAAACCAAGGGTTTTAAGTCCGTCCAGGGCCTGGGTGATACTGCCCACGTTCCTTGGGCAACGAAGGAAGGTGATGAGGGACTCAAGGGCTCACTGCCATCATGTTTCCCTGTCTTCCATCCATCATCTTCCACTCCACTACAGTGACTTCTCGATCTCCATAACCTCCTTAATACCCTCTTCGATGGTGTTCACCCGGGCCTTTTCCAGCCTCTTGAGCGGTCGCCTGGGGTATCCACCATATCCAAAATAGCTCTGAATAGCCTGCTTAGTGCCGGCAATGGCAGACTTGGTCAAGAACCAATCGCCCTTGGCAAGCGTCTTCTGGAGCGCAATGGCTTCGTCAATCTTTCCCTCCACATACAGGTTCCAAACCTTGACGCACACCTTGGGCATCACGTTGGCTCCGCCGGCAATGATACCGCTGCCGCCGCTGGCCAAGGTCTGGACAGTGAAGTCGCACATTCCACCAAATGCCATGTAGCCAGATCCTTCGGCCCATGGAGTCTTGGCGTCACTCGCCTGTGCCACTCGTGTGAGCTTGCCGGTGTTTCCGCAGGTGAATTTGGTGCCCACGATGTTGGGGTGGGCGGCGAGCTTAATCAGCAGGTCCGAGTCCATGTCGATACCGGCAACGGCTCCAGGGTAGTTGTAAAGAACGAGCGGTAGAGGGCTTTCGTCGGCCACGGCAATGAAGTAGTCGTGAATTGCTTGCTCGTCCATGAGGAAACGGAAGTATGAGGGTGGGAGGAGTAGGACGTAATCGCCGCCAGCTTCCTGGGCGATCTTGCACAACTCGATTGTTCCCCTAACACTACCCTCAGTTGTGCCAACAATGATGGGTGTGTCCTTGAAACCGGCCTCATCCAAAGCTTCCCTGGTGGCGCGGGTAACTGCCGCCTTTTCCTCTCGTGTACAATGAACAGCCTCTCCATTGGAGCCCATAGTTACCAGACCAGCAAGTCCATCCTTAACCAGGCGTGCGGCGTGCTTCTTGATGGTGAGAATGTCGAGGTCCTCAGTCTCGGGGTCGAAGAAGGTCATAGTCGGGGCGTAGATGCCGCATGAAAGAAGTCTTCTCGGGGCCTGCTGGCCGTTCGTAGCACCATTGGACACAGTCATGGTGGATGTATGTATGTATGGCAACAGGAAATGGGCCAAGTGATTGAAGCTTTGAGGCTTTGGATAGGCGTGATGTACGGAGGTAGTGGTAGAGGGATCAGAACAAGGAGGCAACAGGCAGAATGAGCGGGTGTAAGCAAGCGAGGGAACGCCTTCTACTTATTCGAGAAAAGAAAGTTCATGGTGACAAACAATCTAGCATTGCCCGACTCACTACCCCAACTGTGGGGCATCATGGTGTGTTGTTGAAGCAAAAAGTTCACCAGCCAGGAGCAGCTCGCTCGGACATTGGTCCGAGGCGACCAACCAAAGGCATCAGCCTGTGCGGTTCCTGCTGGCCGAAGACGGGATTTGGTAAAAACAAAGGGCAAGGCAAACAGACAGCGGCTAAGTGTTGAAGCGAGCCATTAGATGGACCCGGATGGGGGATGGTGATGGAGGAGGAGATGTTATGAGAGGGGCTCACCCCAGGGATATGACAGCCGGACGGGGGGTGGTAGGACGGAGCAATATGGGGAATGAAACCAATGGAGAGAAAGTTGATGGATTGATTGGTCTAAGGAAGAAAAGGGAAATCTCAAGGTCTGCCAGTCCTCCGAGCTTAAATACCCCAAAGTTGACGAAGAAGGTGGGGGACGAATTCCCAGGGTAGAGGAATCTATGGGGAAACAAATCACGCATCCACCTTTTGTTTGTCCAAAATATCGCCTTAACTTGGTTTGGTATGGCGGCGAGCGGGAAAACAATGGGGTCAATGGGAGGGAATGGCGGCGGCTCATCCGGCGGTCGAAATCGAGGTTTCCGGGTCATTGGGCTCCGCCAAGGGATATATCCAGGAACTCTTGGATGATCTCCTTGTGGACCGTTGAAGTCCAAGACACTTGTTTTTAAATGTACGTCGCGGCTTCAAGATACTGAGTGTCTGGCCTTGAGTGAGTTCCAAACACCTTTCAAAGCTCAGGATCCGGCGAGCGAAGAAGGAATTTGCCGAACAAGCTCGGGCTCGATATACTGTCATTGACCCGGTCAATATGAGACCCAACAATATGGCCTGGTGATCTGCAGAAATATCTAGTGCAGAAAACGTCAACGTGGCCTGTTAGAGACGACGGTCAGAAACATGTTCGCTCCTGGCGGTTAGAAGGTGTCTTGAACTCGAAGACATGTCCCAAGCTGAGGAGCTTGCCGAATTGATGTCATCTCGACAAATACCTAAAAGGTGAGATGGTGTAAACATGACCGGCTGTTACTCTGGATCGACTCTGGCTTCATGACATCTGTCACGGACTGAATGATGACCGCTGTGCTTGTTGGTTGATGAAGAGTGAGGTAGTACATACATTGAAGTGCACCCATCCATGATCTTTACGATGGCGGCGAGAACGTCAAGCGAAGGCTCACAAGTGCCAAGCAGTCTGGGGAGGCCTGCTAGCAGCCCTTCTGGTGTCGGCCACGAGACGGAACAAATATTTCCTCCAATCAAGTTGGCTTCATAAGTGTCGACGGCAAGGATTGGAGCACACCCCCACCGTCACATTTTGGAGTCCCTCCAACCGGACAAGAAAAGAGGCTTACTCGGTGAGGATGGAATGCTGTTGGAAAGGTCCTACTAGGAGGGAAGTCTAGCCTGAAACCATGGAAGGTTGGGAGAAGCAATTCAAACGCAAAAACAAAGAGAAGGTGGAACGGAGGAAAGAATGTCAAGCATGACGATGTTTGGATGAAGTGGGGAGAATGCGGGGAAAAGGAGCCCCAAAAGTTAGCGTGGGGGAAGGAGCGGGTCGGCCGGGGGTGCTGGGGGGCTGCACCCCACCTTCTACCCACTACCGTACTGCGAGGGGGGGGTGGTGTTGGGAACTGTCAATTTATAGTTTTTCGATAGTTATATTGTTCAAATATTTCGAAAATTACGTGATGAAGTACGTGTTGAAAAGTTACAAATGTTTATATATAAAAACGATAAGAGGATGTGAAATGCTTAGAATAGCTAAATGTTTAGATTAGCGAGACTATCTATATACTATTTATAAATAACTTCTGAAATTCTTGACAACAATTGGGATTTAAACATTTAAAGGTGAAAAATACCTAATTTAAAAGGGTATCTAAAATCAATTAAACTACTATCTCTATTGTAATTAGTTCTAACTTGAATTGCTCAGCTCTTAGTCCTACTTTACCCAGGTACCCGCACTTAGCCGCTACGCGCCCGTACACTATACCCTAACTCTGAACTTTAGGGTTGGGTCGGGAATAATATATATCGTTATTAAAACTATAAAACTACTTTCAAATACTAATACAATAATAATAAGCACAATATAATAATAATACTGGATTTATGCATATTGGATATATAGATTACATAGACCTATGGAATGCTTAATTACATAACTGGGCCGCTCTTATAGTTATATATAGAAAAGTGGTTACTACAAGGCTAGCTTATGCTGTATTTATATAATAGTATACAGCTTCTAAAACTATATCACTATTATAGCCGCGAGTGTAGCAGCGGTTAACCTGCTATCGTAGTTACGGTTATTGTTAATTAATAATAGCTTAAATACTATAAATCAACCCGCTAAGTAGATCTTGTACCTAAGCTTACATAAAGTTATTCTTCTAATTATTCGTCGTACTTACTTCCTTTCTTTCTTTGTATAATTACGTATAATTAAATTTACTATTAACTCTTTATCCGTAATAGTTGATTACTCGTTTTGATTATTATATTTATAGTGCAACCCCTCGTTTATTTGTTATGAGATTAATTCTATTAATCGCGCGCTTATATATATATATTGTCTTATCACGCTAAACTATCTACATAGTCTACCCAGTGGGTATGCGGTGCTGCTTCCGTTTTTAGTTGGTGGGAAAAACCGTACCGTAGCCGGATAAAAACCCTCCGTGCGCTTATATAAAGATCGCCTCGCCTGACGAGGAATTGAATCTAATATAAGCATTAATAACCAACATTACAACTATCTAAGATCGCTAACCTTTATTTAATAAGTAAGGCCGGGCTCCCTTTATTTAATAGATAAAGCTCGTCTCTGTCATAAAGCTAGCGCCTAGGGTGTCTGCCTGGCTTGAACCCAATATAAGCCAGGCCTGCCCTCCGGTTGAGTGCACTCCTAAGGTGCGCTGCACGAACCATAGTTCTGACCTTGGCGTTTCTGGCACCTTTGATATCCGCACCTCTCTTGTGTATTTAGCTGCAAGTTCCATGCCATATGGCACAAACTTCTCTTTTCCTCTTTGTCAAATATTACAACTTTCACCAAGGCCTACCTGCGTGTATATCTCGTAGAACCCTTACAGTCTCACCCAATCTCTTCTTTTTTGGATTTTTATTATTTAATATTTAGTAACTTAAGTAGCGATTCCGTTTATTTTTCGCCCTCTAATAATAAATGAAATAGTAATTTCCTTAATTTTAGTACCCTTCTAGTTATTACTAACTCTTTCAATTTTAGAAAGATACGTAACGTATTTAATAAAATAATTACTTTCGATACGATCGTTTGTTATATAACGCTTCTCAAACTTCTACAAACCCTAACTGTTATTAACTTTATTACTAATATTAAAAATAATAAAAATGAATAAATAACTTCTTGTATTTATTTTTGTTAACGTGTAGCTAGTACT